GCCTTTCTGGAATTTCCCATACCAAGGACAAAACTTCATAATGGACAAAGTCAGCTTCCCCTGGGGGTCACCCTCTGTGCCATGATGAGGAAGGAAAGCTTCTGCAGCTCTGGAGAGGGGCCAGGGAAGGTGGCCTCACAGTCTGGTGACAATGCAGACCTCCCCAAGTCTCCTTTCTTCTCTACAGTGCATGCCAGGGACACGGCCCATCTTCCTCACCTCTTCATGCCCACACTCATCTTATTGTTCCATCTCCAAGCCTGGCTGGAAAGGAAGATAAAGCCTCCCCACCTTCCTATTTCCTTGCTGCTCCAAGAAAACAAAGTCTCCATTCCATATTGCTTCAGGAAAACAGAAGACACACACACACACACACACACACACACACACACACACACACACACGCACACACACAATTTCAGTACCTTACAGGGCTCTGGTCTTAATGTTACTATTCTAACATCCAACTTCCTTTGCAGCTGGTAATTATAGGTCCCTTTTAGAGTCCCCACCCAACCACCCATTTTTAATATCCTAAGGGTGCTTACCTGAAATCTCCCTTATTCTGATGAAGATCTTTCCAAAGGTCATGCAGAGCCCTATTCCCAGGCCACTTTGCCATAATCGATCCAGCGCTGGGTGGCAAAATTGATGGCTTCCGCGCAGTTGAAGCCAGAGTGGTAGCCATAGGGAAACGTCACCATGAACTCTCCAGCCTCCTGAGTGACCCGACCGAAGGGGATGCTGTTGTTATTGAGGACCGTGGGCGAGATGAGAGCCACCTTGTGCCGCAGGAAGGCCTCACAGCCCCGTGAGCTGCCCGGGAAAAGCTCCCTGGCCAGGCTTTCCAGGCGCCGGCCGTACTCCGGGGGCACCGCGTACCAAGTCTTGGGCTCCCCGAAGTGCAGCTGTAAAGGTCCATGTCCTCCGTGTGCCAGGCAAAGGCGGTCTTCCACAGCCGAAGTACAGGTAGGGGGTGTTGACGCCTTCGATGACCACTCCGCACTCCTGTTCCAGCAGGTCCTGAATGGTTCCCAGGTGTCCAAGGTTCCACTGCTTCGTGTTTTCATCGAATAAGGAGCCACTGACGTCCCCACCGTATACTGGTGAATCAAAGGGGCGTGTTTTCCAATATTTTCGCTCCAGATTCTCAAAATCAGAGTAGAATGGAGTCTGGTGTCTTTCACTGTTTGTTAAGCGGCGATACTCTCTCACGGTCATGGCTTTCTTCTTTTTGTGGTGCTGAGTAAACACACCTGCCTGCCCAGTGGTCACCTGCTGGAGGGGAGCGGCTATTAAGATGTCATCGATATCATTGTACGTCTGTCTGGCTTTCCATCCTTTTGGTGGAATTACCTTGGCTAGGCCAGCTCGGTGTGCACCTTGCCACTC